TAGGTCAGCATATACCTCAAGTATGAAGTTTCAGAGAATAATGGTGCAGAAAATAGAGGTAGGTCAAAGGTCAAAATGTAAGTCAGAGCGACCTGTTTTTCATACATGACTCGTTGCCACACCTATGTGAACCATGCCCCAAGTAGGATGTGCCAGTGACAAGTAGGTTAGGAGATAGAACTAGGACAAGATCATGTGTGAAAGGACTGGAGGATTGAGGAAAGAATGGATAACAACAATCCAAAACCTTATTGTCCTCCTCAGTTTCTGGTGGGAAACTAACAATCTTTAACTGTCAAATCCAAAATGGTATATATCAGCAATTTTCTCTCAAACACGTCTAAAAATTAAACAGGTACATGGGACCACAGAGAATTTCAGTGAATTTCAGAAAGAAACATTGATCATAAATAAACTTAACAATGAAATCAAATGATATATAGATGCTAGTAACCCATATATAATTCATGGAGATGCATATCTGTCTGTCCATTTCTTACATTTTTAATATCTATATGAAAATGTAAAGAATGATCCAAATGACTTTGAATTTTACTTAGCATTGCTAATATCATGATCTTTGTATCTCAGGTTGTGATAGTGCTGTAAAACACTTATCCTAGTCATCATGTACCCATTTATAACATTTCAGGTTGTGATAGTGCTGTAAAACACTTATCCTGGTCATGGTGTACCCATTTATAACATTTCAGGTTGTGATAGTGCTGTAAAACACTTATCCTAGTCATCGTGTACCCATTTATAACATTTCAGGTTGTGATAGTGCTGTAACACTTATCCTGGTCATGGTGTACCCATTTATAACGTTTCAGGTTGTGATAGTGCTGTAAAACAGGTTGTGATAGTGCTGTAACACTTATCCTGGTCATGGTGTACCCATTTATAACATTTCAGGTTGTGATAGTGCTGTAACACTTATCCTGGTCATGGTGTACCCATTTATAACATTTCAGGTTGTGGCAGTGCTGTAAAACACTTATCCTGGTCATAGTGTACCCATTTATAACATTTCAGGTTGTGACAGTGTTGTAACACATTATCCTGGTCAAGGTGTACCCATTTATAACATTTCAGGTTATGACAGTGTTGTAATACATTATCCTGGTCAAGGTATACCCATTTATGACATTTAATCCAATGTCAGCATCGTGGCTGAATGACCTACATTATATGTACGTGCATTTTAGTTTTAGGTGAAAAATCTTATACTTATTGTCTTACCTTCTTATTCCAGATGGCTATACTTTCCAACGGATCACTTCTTTAAGTGCATTCCTCTGAAATAAACAAAGGAAATTTACATATTTCAATTAATTAAAAGATATTGCATCAAAACTGAACATGAGACACATTCCCTGAGCATTAAACTAATAAAGAATTAGAGAGATGCTAGTAAATGTATACAAAAATTATTTTCCTTGTTAGTGACCATCATGTAGTGGAACTGGACCATGTGATCTGTGCAATATAGCTACACATGTCCTTTGTGTGTAATGTAATGAATCAGCGGGTGATAAGTGTTATATAGTTGTACAAGTTCTGTTTTTGTAGGATGACTGGGCTAGGTGATCTCCAGTTCTGCTTTACATTAGAAGTGAATTTATGATCACCCATAAACTATCCCAGTACAAATAAATCCTACAAAATCAAGACAACCTCAGAAACACATCGGAATGGCTCACGCTTGATATCAAATCCTTACAGTTAAAGCTCTGAATGCATACCTACTAGACTAAAAAAAAAAGACCAATGAAGCAAATAAATAGTTCATAAGTTGAAATTAATAACTTGAATTGTCTTTCGTTCAATTGTATATTGACAATATAATGTCTTTCATCGATTTGATTTGTCTTTTGAAGATATACTGGTTGGGAACATCCATGGATTTTTAAGAAGCATTAAAACTCCACCAGATAACCAAATCAAAAAATGTTTTTTCAAACATTACTACACAAAATGACATCTTGACCAAGTTGAAGAAGGTTAAAAACAATATTAGGGAGAAAGAACAATTTTTTTCTATAAATATATGTATATGTAGAGTCCATTTTTTCAATAGTTCAATAAACCATACATTGTACAGTGTAATCCAGTGGATAGTAAAAGTTAAATCATTTACAGGTAAGTGAATCTATTCTTAGAATGTGCATACGTGTGTTATTTTCTGATAAAAGGTTGCATGTTGTCAATGGCAAGATTGAACAGAGGTATGGTTTATTGCTTTGTGTAAAGAGTAGACAGACATGGTTTATGGGGCTTATTACCATGTGAACAGCCATGGTAATTTTGATGCCGAGTCTCCTTGTAGTAGCTGGTGGCTACCTCACTGAACAACATACAGGAGGCATTTCACATGCCCAACCAGGGTAATTAGGTTACAGTGTTTTGCCAACGGACACTATGTAACCATGTCATTAAAAAATAAACAACATAACCTGTTTTATTTGTTCGTTTGAAAATGTAGCTCATCACAAAAATATCTCAGTCTGTGAATGAGAAAATGTCATTTTGTCAAGTCAGTTTTTTTAAATGCATAGTATGACTTACCTCACACCAATGTGTCTAATTGCAGAGGAGAAAAATCCTCTATAATAAGATGATATGTTCTAGTGCATCCTTGCAAATCCAAGGATGTTCCCAACCTGATAAAGCATGCTTATTAGACGCCATGCCATGATCGTTGCTCGTTTTCGGAATATTTATATTTAACAAAGAAGCCATCAACATGCTGGTGATGCAGCAGCAGACTTACAATGAACACAACAAACTTCGACACAGAGAAAGAAATGATTCATAATCACCTGTGATTAAAGGCAATCCGTAACGTTACTGTCGACAAAGTTAGACGTCATAATAATAATTTGTCATCCTTGGAGAATTAAAGCTGAAGTGTTAAGGAACACAAAAACATAAAGATGTGGTATATATACCACACGTTGCATGTTATACATGACATACTTCTAAGTAATCCCAATCGCATACACAAATAACATAACAGGTAATATGATAAGGGGAATGATGGATAAATAAAGAATGTCCTTGGTAAATGTATCATAAATTCGGTAATGGGTTGGCATGAAAATCAATTTTGTTAGTTTGTAGCTTCCCTACCCTGAAACAGTGCAATTAAAAGTTAAGTATCCCGTGAAAGTTGAAAACAAACCTTTCCTGGTTATCCGGAAATAAGATTATTGCAGCCGCCATGCTAATAGAATATCCCGGATGTGACAGGTGTGACGTCACATTCTGTTAAGTGTAATATATCGTTTCCCATGGTTTCTCTATTGAAAATTGTCTGAAACAATCACAAAAGCTGTTTTGAAATAACTGGGTTGTTCATATGTATCACGATGTAGCAAAAGACTCATAATTAATGATTTTTTCACTTTAACCTTATAACAGCTAGTTGCGCATGCCTAAAATGAACATCCGTTTTTAAGTAAATTAACTTCCGTTCAAGTTTACATTTGCCTTGCTGAAGAGAAAGTGATGCATTTTTGGGGTTTTCATTTGAGAAATAATGTTTAGACTGGGGTAGGTGTGGTTTCCTTACATACTTTATCAATACACATGTGTAGGACACTGTAGTATATAAAGTGTTTTAAATATTAGTTTAAATGCGAGTAAAATTCACCCGGAAGGATGCAACTGAAGCGAATAACTGATTACCGAACAGTCAGATCGGAAGACTTACTGATTGATGCCAAGTTGGAACAGGCCTGTACTTTGCCAAATTACTAAATATAAAAATCACAGTCTGTGACAAACAATTCTCAACTACATCAAGTTTGATTCAAATATGGTATTGTGTACCTCATCCAATATCTTGAGAATAAACTATTGATGTTTTATTAATAACGGAATTCTAGTCATTTCGGTACAAAATTGTTTCGACAACGAGTTGTTTCGGTACTTACAAAAGTCGTTTTAGTTCTTGCAAAATGGCTCACAAAGCTAGAGTATCATTTTGAAGTCACAGGTTTTCAGGAACTGAATGAGCAATTTTTATTAATGACAAAGCACCTTAGGAAACCTAACTAAATACATAAATAAATAGAAATAACTGGTATTTTCAATCTACTGAAACAACAGTTTTTGGAAGTACCGAAACATCCTGGTACCAAAGCGACTTGCCCCCTCCCCCATAATTTGGTATTCAAACATTTCACTTCTCATCCATTTCAACCTCAGCATCATCCCCTCCATAATATCTTTGTTTCCAAATTGAAGCTGTAATTTATTCCCTCATGATGAAAAACTGGATCTGATGTAAAATCAGACATCATGGTTCTATCATTCTTTTATGCAAGGGGCTGTTCAAAGTATAGCATATTGATAACATGTTTGAAAGTACAGTCCTGTTTTACCAATGGCTCTTAAATATTAAAAAAGTTGGATGCAATCCCACATTTGGTTCATAGTCCTACATTTGAGGGATAGTTACTGTACAGAGTAATCAATTAATTATGTAAATGCAGGATCATTTGAAATGTAAATATTAAGTCCTTTTAAACATTTACTGTAAATAAGTTTGAACAGACCCAAGTCTTTTACCAAATGGTGGAATTAATGTTATGTAGATCTATATGAGACTATAATTTCTGATTGAAAAATGCCTGAACATAGTTTCAAATTAATCCAGATTTCTCATCAAATTAAGACTGAATTGATCAACATAACATTGGTACCAGAAAAGACAGAATGACTTGAATGTTTTCCATCATTTGTCAATGTTCTAGTTATATGTATCATCATCAAGCTAGTGTATATACATCTATTCAATCATGATTTTTTTTTTTTAGATTTAAGTCCAAGCTTATCTAGATTGTTTATAAAAAATGTGTTAAAATAATGTATTTAGTTTTCTCCACAGTGCCTTCTTTGACATACTCATGGTATTGCAGAACTTGATAATTTGATAATTATGCCTTGGATTTACGATCATAACTTATATTTTCAGACGCAGCTTGAAGTAAGAGTCCAAGAGAATGTCACAGGACGACTCGGCCAAGTTAAATGGGAAGAAAGCCACCAAGAAAACCCCAAATGACTTCATATTTGGAAAAGTCATTGGGGAAGGATCATTTTCAACAGTAATGAAACTTTGATTATCATGTAACATTTTTTACAAAACCATGCTGTCGTCTGTCCTGAATTCTTTGAAGCATTCAACGTTTTTGAACTCTCAAAGAGTCCTGAACCAGTGACTTCCATGGTAAACCAAAACAATGTTGCAAATTATAAGGACATCCCCCCTACCCCCATCCTCCCACCTCTCTTCACTCCACCCTCAGATGCCTGAGGCCTTCTCAAGATACTAAATTGTGAATGTACTGAAACCTTGGTTTCACATTATCCCCTGAGGCGGGGTCAAGTATACTACAGTAGATATAAGGAAAATACATTTCAGAGTGAAATAATTCAAACTTGTTTCAAGTTATTGGTATGAGATGATATAGGACTGTCAGTTTGATGGTATGCACATATTGACCCTTATTTATCCAAAAGGGCCACCAGGTGGTGCTACAGGGGTCAAATTGACTAAAATTCCAAAAAATCTTCTTTTCAAGACCCCAGCTTGACTATAGTTTATAAAGAAAAAATATTTTTTGAGTGTAATTTGTTTGATTTCCCTTGGTTATATTTATTAGTGTAAGATGACTGTATGATTATGCTCATATTGATACTGACTGATCCCTAGAAGCTGATGGTTAGGGCAAAAATGGGTCAGATTTACTCAAATATCAAAAATATTATTCTTAATGATTATGTATGTTGAATTAAATACTCTTCATGGACAAAAGGTTTTAAAACTTCTTAAACGAAATTGTGACTTTGATGACACTGGCCTCTTGTAGTTCTCATTGGGAAGGGGCGTAACCTGTTTAAGTACAGCCTTGACAGATGATGCAGGTGCCTGATAGTGATCAGGTTGTCCCTCTGTCTAAATTTTGGCCTTAAGTTCTGTTGGGCCAATGACTCTCAAACTTTGCTCAAAGCTTCTGCTATGGAAATGCCTGAATGGTTATAAGATCACTGTTAATAGATAGAAAATCATGAAAGATCTGCAGTTCAGTTTGAGGGATTATACTCGGACAATTCCATTGCTTTTTCACAGGAAATGCTAGCTCTCAAGTGTTTTTCTTGCTCTGGTAACAAAGGTCAAGGTCACCATTACTGTATATAGAGATATAAAAATGACATAATGAAAACATTTTTGCTGAAATCAAATGAGATAAAATGACTGCATGTCAAGGTTATCATTTCAAAGGTTAAGGTCAAATTCAAAAAGCTATGTCAAAAGTCAAGATAAAAATTTCACATGTTTACTGGGCAATATTTTCTTAAAAATGGCCAGAATCAAATGAAAAGTTCCTAGACTGGTCAATGTCATCAGGTCAAATGTCAGTGTCTCATTTTGAATATTTCAGTGATAAATATATTGCTATGGCATTGTGAATTAAAGTTGATCAGAATAAAAAAGAAGTTGTATGATAGAAGGTCAAGGTCATTGATGCCAGGATCAAAGGTCAGATTTTTATCTTGTAACTAATGTACACCTTGTAATGATATTATGAAGCAAAATTTGTCTTAATCAAAGCAGGTATGAATTGACCAAAGCTCAATGTCATAAGGTCAAAGGTTAAAGGCAAATTTAACATTTCTGACCTGGTAAATATTTTGTTACGTCATTATTCAGCAATTTGATCTCAATCAAGGGTCAGACATGTAGCAGGACCTTTTCTGACATGTCAGTGTTTAGTTTTTATTGAAAATAATCCAGACATGGTTAGAATCCTTAACATGAGGTGGAAGTTATTGTTATGCATATTTTGAATTTGCATTACTTGTACAATGTAGTCTTACTTTCTTAACTAGATGGTTTCTGTGACAGATATAACAAGAACAGCATTTATAAAACACAGGTGACCCTTTAGGCCTCATGTTTTGTTACATAACATTGGACAAAAGTCTTGATTGATTGATAAGGTTCAAGACTGAAATTAATTGTTTTTGCCCAATTTTTATCTTAATAATCAAACAGTTGAATAGTATTATCAGCAGAATCAATTTCTGTTGTTGAACCGATATAAATATGACTATATGCTTTAATAAATGCAAAAACATTGTATTTTAGGTGTATTTGGCAAAAGAGATAGAATCTGGCAATGAATTTGCAGGTGAGTGGACTTTTTTAAGCACAACATCAGATGGTGTGTTGTTCAAATCATTCTTTAGCATTTTATGGATCATTCTCAAATTTCAGGTGTAGGTTCCCCTTGTTGCCTGATGGTCCTAGTTCCACTAAACCTGTAACAGATATGTTACAATATTTCTGATTATCATTCAATGGATTCCCCTGTTGTTTCTACATATCCTTATACTGAAGAATAAATGAAAACTTGAGAACATTTTAAGTAGGGCTGTTTATACAAAATTCTGACGTTTTAAGATGTAACTGCAATTATTTTAAGTAGTATTATGTATTATCCAAAATCTAAACCCAGTTTATTCTAGTTTTTTCTAATTATATGAATTTGACATGATATGTTTATTTACAGTCAAAGTTCTGGACAAACGGCATATAATGCGTGAGAAGAAGACCCAGTATGTGATGAGAGAGAAGGAAGTATTGATGAAACTTAATCATGCTTTCTTTATACGTCTCTTCTACACCTTTCAGGACCAAGACAGACTCTGTATCCTTGTGTAACATGGTTAATTTAATGTATCACCATAATTCAGTTCCATATCACTATTGTCTACCAAGGTATTACAACATTCATGGGTCGTTCATTACATCCAAAACCAAGTTTCATTTAATAGGCATCTTATCCTTATTCTTAATTTTTTTTATTTGATAAACTCACCGCCTGTAATACGTAATAACCCATTGAAGTACAATATCCTGGATGCTTATATGAATTAGTATAAATGGTGCCAGACTTGAAATATTTCTATTCTATAATTTAATATTTTAACCAATGATAGTACTGTATACTGTATACATTGGTGCCCAATAAATGTGGTCCTTGTAGTTAAAAAGGACGACTGTAGATGGAAAATGAGAACACCATAACTTTCCTTAACTATACAGACTTTGTGCTGAGCTATGCTAGACAAGGAGAACTGTTGGACTACCTCAATAGATTGTCTTGTTTTGATGAGAACTGTACCAGGTGGTATGCAGCAGAACTTGTTCTGGCTCTGGAACACATGCATAGTCTGGGTATAATTCACAGGTACAGCAAAGCAACATTCTGTATATTTAAAACTTTTCTCATGGGGTTACAAAGTTTCTTCAGGGTGGAGCAATTTTCATGTTGCTTGCTTATTGATAAAATCTCACCTCTCTGTTTAAAATCAGTATATATTTCATTTATATCACTTTTTTCATGTGTAAAAACACAATATACAAACATTTTTTGTCTTAGTGCAAAGGTATATTAAGTCATACAAGTGAAATATATATACTTGACAGGAAACCATCAGATTTTCAATTTATGACAATTTAAGAAGAAATTGTAACAAAAAGAGATAGAGAAGACAATGATACGTTAAAGGGTGTGGGAATGAAGCAGAAGATTTTGTGGTATAATGATATGTTAAAGGGTGTGGGAATGAAGCAGAAGATTTGTGGTATAATGGGTGTGGGAATGAAGCAGAAGATTTGTGGTATAATGGGTGTGGGAATGAAGCAGAAGATTTTGTGGTATAATGATATGTTAAAGGGTGTGGGAATGAAGCAGAAGATTTTGTGGTTTTTGTTGTATAATGATATGTTTATGGGTGTGGGATTGAAGAAGAAGATTTTGTGGTATAATGATATGTTAAAGGGTGTGGGAATGAAGCAGAAGATTTTGTGGTATAATGATGTTATGTTAAAGGGTGTGGGAATGAAGCAGAAGATTTTGTGTTAAAGGGTGTGGGAATGAAGCAGAAGATTTTGTGGTATAATGATATGTTAAAGGGTGTGGGAATGAAGCAGAAGATTTTGTGGTATAATGATATGTTAAAGGGTGTGGGAATGAAGCAGAAGATTTTGTGGTATAATGGGTGTGGGAATGAAGCAGAAGATTTTGTGGTATAATGATATGTTAAAGGGTGTGGGAATGAAGCAGAAGATTTTGTGGTATAATGATATGTTAAAGGGTGTGGGAATGAAGCAGAAGATTTTGTGGTATAATTGACATCATGTGAACACTTTTTTAAATGTTATGTCCTTTTTCTGTTCTTGTCAGTTAGCAGTGGTTAACGAAGTAGTTAGCTGATATAGATTAGATCTGTAATGTTTACATAATGATCGCAATCTCACCCTTTGTTTCATTAACATCTAACAGAAAAAAAATAAAGGAAAAAGAAAAATAGTTTTTTATGCCATACAGTGACATCCATCATCTGTCTGTCTATCGCTTGTCCATAACAATTTCTTTAAAACACTACTAGTCATGATTTACTAAGCAGTTTTTGACGAAAAGGGAGAAATTTTAGCAACTTCTTTAAAATCCTTTTTCTGTAGGAACGATTTTGTCCAAATTTGGGTTGAAGCCTTACTAGGTGATGTGGACTCTTATTTTGAATGAGCAGTGAGTCTAGGTCCATTGGTCCAGAGAGATGGAGCCCAATAGGGGATATGAGCAAATTCTTTAAAATCCATCTTTGGTAGGAATGTCAGGCTTCTGTCCAAATTTGGTCTGAAACATTTTAGGGTGAAGAGGAGAAGCAATTTTGTATAAATGATCAGTCTTGGCCCCCTGGGGCTTGAGGAAAGGGCCCAGTATGGGAAGAGTGCAATTCTTTAAAATCTCTCATCAGTAGGAATGTCAAGATTCTGTTACAAAAGTTGGTATGGAACATCCGAAGAGAAATCAACTTTATGTAAACAGTGGGTGTCAGACCCCCGTGGATAGAAGAGATGGGGCTCAATAGGAAAAATAGAAATCTTTAAATCCTTGTTTATTCTGTAGGAATGACAGGATGTCTTTCAAAATTTGGTTTTAAGTATTCTTGGGTGAAAGAGACTTGTATAATTGGTTTCACTGATCTGGTGAGGGTAGCAAGTTGAGAGATAATAGATGAAATAGATACAAACCATGTAAAATCCTTTTCCTTTATTTTGGAAAAAAGTTCAGCCAAACTAAGCCAGATGAGTGATATAGTCCCTGTAGGCCTCTTGTTTTTTTTGTTATTGTGCATCCTTGTTTTCTCAATTGCATCCATTCAGATATCTTTTACATAGTAACATCTTATCCCCAGTTTGCTCATCTGCAATAAATGTAAATAAATGCACCTATATACATGGAGGCAATTGCTCCAGGAAAACACAAAGTTTTATTGACATTTTCAAAAGATGAAGTGTAATTATAAAATCTATGTTATTATCACTGATTACTGATTTACTGATTGAGAAAAAAGAAGATGATGTCAACTGTTCTATTTCTTGTGACAGAGACTTGAAGCCAGAAAACATCTTGTTGAATGATGGAATGCATATACAGATAACAGATTTTGGAAGTGCCAAGATATTAGATAAGCAAGAATCAACAAACAGTGGACCAGGTAAAGGATTTTTTAAGAATCTTATCTAAAAATTGAAGCATATTATACATACCTCTTAACACACAATGACACCAATCTACTTCTACGTTTTGTGTGAACTTATTTTGGAAATATATTTCACAATCCAGCCCTCCTCGGTGACAGATAAGTGTCCCTGAATAAGTCAACAACTACCTTACCAGGTACATATCACAATCCAGCCCTCCTCAGTGACAGATAAGTGTCCCTGAATAAGTCAACAACTACCTTACCAGGTACATGTTACAATCCAGCCCTCCTCAGTGACAGGTTTAGTGTGTCCTTGTATAAGTCTGCAGCTTGTTTACCTGGTGAATTTCACAGCCCTCCTCAGTGACAGATTTAGTGTGTCCTTGTATAAGTCTACAGCTTGTTTACCTGGTGAATTTCACAGCCCTCCTCAGTGACAGATTTAGTGTGTCCTTGTATAAGTCTACAGCTTGTTTACCTGGTGAATTTCACAGCCCTCCTCAGTGACAGATTTAGTGTGTCCTTGTATAAGTCTACAGCTTGTTTACCTGGTGAATTTCACAGCCCTCCTCAGTGAGAGATTAATTGGGTTTCAGATTCTGAGCTCAGTCTTATTGTCTCACTGTACCCTTCCCTTAAACAAATATATCTCAGAATCATGAAGCAATGATTTTTTCTATGTTTCGGTGAAGGGCTGTAAACATTTTTGAAAAAATGACCTTGACCTACTGGTTTTCACGATGGAGTTTCTTTAAATAACCAGTGATTGTGACTGTGAAATAGTACAACAGCAACATCTAGAATTTTACCTCATCTAGCACCTCTTTCTTGTATGGGTTGTATTCAGTTATAATTTATATTTGTTCTTCTGAAAGAACCTTCCCCGGAGCCTGGAAACCAACCCAAGAGGAAGAATTCTTTTGTGGGTACAGCACAGTATGTGTCGCCAGAAATCCTGACCAGTAAAACGGCTTGTAGCAGGTAAGAACACTGTAAAAGTGCAGTATATAACACTTTAATATGCATGTTTATCTGTCTAGTTGATCACCATGTATAGAGCTTTTTGAGAAGCCAAATCAGTTAAGATCGCTTGGGTTTGGTTTACTTGATATCTCAAAACGGCTGACAATATAACAGATTGGATTTTTAGATTTGTTATATGTATCTTCCACAAGCTTTATTCAGGAGCGCACACAAAAGTTTAATCATTTCAATTTTAATGTTTATGAGTATCATGAAAATCATTTTTATTTATCAAAAGTTTGTTTACTTCAGCTGTGAAGAGCAGGGCACATTGACAGATATATTGTAATGTTTCTGCGGTGATAATCTCTCCTCGATACTCCAACATGGAACATGTCATGGCAAAATTGAAGGTTCTATTTGCAACCCATTGTGGACAAGACAAAAAGACTATTTTGCAATCTCAAGGTAGCATAATGGTAAATTGTTAGGACTTTGAAGATGGATTTTATTCCTTTGTAATCTTTGAAAGAAGTGTATCAGCCCGTGATTGGCTTTTTTTTTTCTCCTGGAACCAATCAAATTATTCTGCCTATGCCTTCAATTTTGCCATGACATGGTCCAGGGGTGCAGAGAATGAAAGGATTGTAACCCTTGGATCAGGTGATATCTGATATGTTTAGATGTTATTTTTACTTGATTATCACTTTTTATATTAAAGGTAAGTAATATAGACAACAAGCTGATGAACCTGAGATGTAATTACATCTACTTGTGGTTTCATTACTGCCATCATCTTTTGAAATTCTCTGTGCCCTTCAAAATTGACATATCTTTTTTGCTTTTCCAGCTCTGACCTTTGGGCTTTAGGCTGTATTATTTACCAGTTGTTATCTGGACTAGTTCCTTTCCGTGGAGGGTAAGTAGTTGAAACATAACTTTTTTCAGCTTTTCTTGAACACCATCACATCAAGGGTCTTGATATTTAGTGAAAAGGGATAGAGAGCTGTAAAGATTTCCTGATATCTTGATATACTTTAAAACTTAAATTACAAGGTCAAAGGGTCAAATATGTTAAAATCTTTAAACAACTTCTTCTTAATAACCTAAAATCCCAGGTTGCTAATATTGAGTCTGTAGTATGCTGGGAAGAAGAATAGGTTTTCAAGTTTGCAGAATTGTCTTAATGAACCAACAGTGTCTGTTATGTAATCTGTAGAGTAGGTGACCAATTTGCTTTAGGACCTCTTTCATATATATATAGGTCAATATAGTCATATGGACTTATGTCATAAGTTTCATATGTTGGTATAAAAAATTTAGAATCTACTTATAGGTGTGATAAAGCCTAGATTTGTGATATTTTGCTAAGGGTAATGATGGTTCCTCATATCTCTTGACTTTAAAGGTCACAGAGACTTCTTGTTCATCTGACTTGAAAGGTCACAGGGACTTCTTGTTCGTCTGACTTTAAAGGTCACAGGGACTTCTTGTTCATCTGACTTTAAAGGTCACAGGGACTTCTTGTTCATCTGACTTTAAAGGTCACAGGGACTTCTTGTTCATCTGACTTTAAAGGTCACAGGGACTTCTTGTTCATCTGACTTTAAAGGTCACGGAGACTTCTTGTTCATCACTTGAGTTTAGATCATTGTTATGTAACCTCCTAGCTGTTTAATCTTATCTTAACGCTGGAAACAAAAGTATGCAGGAGAATGAGGTCTCATCAGAAAAAAGTATCACAACCAATCAGAACCAATAAAAAATTTGTTTCCTTCTGTTTTTAGACATGAATATCAAATCTTCCAGAAGATTATGAAACTAGAGTATGAGTTCCCAGATGGTTTTAATCCAATAGCAAGAGATTTGGTGGAGAAGTTATTGGTAAGTTCTATAAAATCTGTTTTCCTGATTTCTAATTTATGTCCATGTCTAATCATATTACAACCATACATACAGGCATTTCCAATCCAGAGACAACATTTAAGTACCTTCTAAAAATTATCCATTACCAAGTTGCCTGTATGAGACTTTTGTGATTTTAGCACTTGTCCTGATCCTGTATCATACAAGATTTTAGTGACCCGACATCACTTGTCCTGATCCTGTATCATACACTGTCTATAGTGACATCACTTGTCCTGATCCTGTATCATACACTGTCTATAGTGACCTGACATCACTTGTCCTGATCCTGTATCATACACTGTCTATAGTGACCTGACATCACTTGTCCTGATCCTGTATCATACACTGTCTATAGTGACCTGACATCACTTGTCCTGATCCTGTATCATACACTGTCTATAGTGACCTGACATCACTTGTCCTGATCCTGTATCATACACTGTCTATAGTGACCTGACATCACTTGTCCTGATCCTGTATCATACACTGTCTATAGTGACCTGACATCACTTGTCCTGATCCTGTATCATACACTGTCTATAGTGACATCACTTGTCCTGATCCTGTATCATACACTGTCTATAGTGACCTGACATCACTTGTCCTGATCCTGTATCATACACTGTCTATAGTGACATCACCTGTCCTGATCCTGTATCATACACTGTCTATAGTGACCTGACATCACTTGTCCTGATCCTGTATCATACACTGTCTATAGTGACCTGACATCACTTGTCCTGATCCTGTATCATACACTGTCTATAGTGACCTGACATCACTTGTCCTGATCCTGTATCATACACTGTCTATAGTGACCTGACATCACTTGTCCTGATCCTGTATCATACACTGTCTATAGTGACCTGACATCACTTGTCCTGATCCTGTATCATACACTGTCTATAGTGACCTGACATCACTTGTCCTGATCCTGTATCATACACTGTCTATAGTGACCTGACATCACTTGTCCTGATCCTGTATCATACACTGTCTATAGTGACCTGACATCACTTGTCCTGATCCTGTATCATACACTGTCTATAGTGACCTGACATCACTTGTCCTGATCCTGTATCATACACTGTCTATAGTGACCTGACATCACTTGTCCTGATCCTGTATCATACACTGTCTATAGTGACCTGACATCACTTGTCCTGATCCTGTATCATACACTGTCTATAGTGACCTGACATCACTTGTCCTGATCCTGTATCATACACTGTCTATAGTGACCTGACATCACTTGTCCTGATCCTGTATCATACACTGTCTATAGTGACCTGACATCACTTGTCCTGATCCTGTATCATACACTGTCTATAGTGACCTGACATCACTTGTCCTGATCCTGTATCATACACTGTCTATAGTGACCTGACATCACTTGTCCTGATCCTGTATCATACACTGTCTATAGTGACCTGACATCACTTGTCCTGATCCTGTATCATACACTGTCTATAGTGACCTGACATCACTTGTCCTGATCCTGTATCATACACTGTCTATAGTGACCTGACATCACTTGTCCTGATCCTGTATCATACACTGTCTATAGTGACATCACTTGTCCTGATCCTGTATCATACACTGTCTATAGTGACATCACTTGTCCTGATCCTGTATCATACACTGTCTATAGTGACCTGACATCACTTGTCCTGATCCTGTATCATACACTGTCTATAGTGACCTGACATCACTTGTCCTGATCCTGTATCATACACTGTCTATAGTGACATCACTTGTCCTGATCCTGTATCATATACTGTCTATAGTGACATCACTTGTCCTGATCCTGTATCATACACTGTCTATAGTGACCTGACATCACTTGTCCTGATCCTGTATCATACACTGTCTATAGTGACCTGACATCACTTGTCCTGATCCTGTATCATACACTGTCTATAGTGACCTGACATCACTTGTCCTGATCCTGTATCATACACTGTCTATAGTGACCTGACATCACTTGTCCTGATCCTGTATCATACACTGTCTATAGTGACCTGACATCACTTGTCCTGATCCTGTATCATACACTGTCTATAGTGACCTGACATCACTTGTCCTGATCCTGTATCATACACTGTCTATAGTGACATCACTTGTCCTGATCCTGTATCATACACTGTCTATAGTGACCTGACATCACTTGTCCTGATCCTGTATCATACACTGTCTATAGTGACTTGACATCACTTGTCCTGATCCTGTATCATACACTGTCTATAGTGACCTGACATCACTTGTCCTGATCCTGTATCATACACTGTCTATAGTGACCTGACATCACTTGTCCTGATCCTGTATCATACACTGTCTATAGTGACCTGACATCACTTGTCCTGATCCTGTATCATACACTGTCTATAGTGACCTGACATCACTTGTCCTGATCCTGTATCATACACTGTCTATAGTGACCTGACATCACTTGTCCTGATCCTGTATCATACACTGTCTATAGTGACCTGACATCACTTGTCCTGATCCTGTATCATACACTGTCTATAGTGACCTGACATCACTTGTCCTGATCCTGTATCATACACTGTCTATAGTGACCTGACATCACTTGTCCTGATCCTGTATCATACACTGTCTATAGTGACCTGACATCACTTGTCCTGATCCTGTATCATACACTGTCTATAGTGACCTGACATCACTTGTCCTGATCCTGTATCATACACTGTCTATAGTGAGCTGACATCACTTGTCCTGATCCTGTATCATACACTGTCTATAGTGACATCACTTGTCCTGATCCTGTATCATACACTGTCTATAGTGACCTGACATCACTTGTCCTGATCCTGTATCATACACTGTCTATAGTGACCTGACATCACTTGTCCTGATCCTGTATCATACACTGTCTATAGTGACCTGACATCACTTGATCCTGATCACTGTAGTCATACACTGTCTATAGTGACCTGACATCACTTGTCCTGATCCTGTATCATACACTGTCTATAGTGACCTGACATCACTTGTCCTGATCCTGTATCATACACTGTCTATAGTGACCTGACATCACTTGTCCTGATCCTGTATCATACACTGTCTATAGTGACCTGACATCACTTGTCCTGATCCTGTATCATACACTGTCTATAGTGACCTGACATCACTTGTCCTGATCCTGTATCATACACTGTCTATAGTGACCTGACATCACTTGTCCTGATCCTGTATCATACACTGTCTATAGTGACCTGACATCACTTGTCCTGATCCTGTATCATACACTGTCTATAGTGACCTGACATCACTTGTCCTGATCCTGTATCATACACTGTCTATAGTGACCTGACATCACTTGTCCTGATCCTGTATCATACACTGTCTATAGTGACCTGACATCACTTGTCCTGATCCTGTATCATACACTGTCTATAGTGACCTGACATCACTTGTCCTGATCCTGTATCATACACTGTCTATAGTGACCTGACATCACTTGTCCTGATCCTGTATCATACACTGTCTATAGTGACCTGACATCACTTGTCCTGATCCTGTATCATACACTGTCTATAGTGACCTGACATCACTTGTCCTGATCCTGTATCATACACTGTCTATAGTGATCATGTATCATACACTGTCTATAGTGACATGACATCACTTGTCCTGATCCTGTATCATACACTGTCTATAGTGACCTGACATCACTTGTCCTGATCCTGTATCATACACTGTCTATAGTGACCTGACATCACTTGTCCTGATCCTGTATCATACACTGTCTATAGTGACCTGACATCACTTGTCCTGATCCTGTATCATACACTGTCTATAGTGACCTGACATCACTTGTCCTGATCCTGTATCATACACTGTCTATAGTGACCTGACATCACTTGTCCTGATCCTGTATCATACACTGTCTATAGTGACCTGACATCACTTGTCCTGATCCTGTATCATACACTGTCTATAGTGACCTGACATCACTTGTCCTGATCCTGTATCATACACTGTCTATAGTGACCTGACATCACTTGTCCTGATCCTGTATCATACACTGTCTATAGTGACCTGACATCACTTGTCCTGATCCTGTATCATACACTGTCTATAGTGACCTGACATCACTTGTCCTGATCCTGTATCATACACTGTCTATAGTGACCTGACTTCACTTGTCCTGATCCTGTATCATACACTGTCTATAGTGACCTGACATCACTTGTCCTGATCCTGTATCATACACTGTCTATAGTGACCTGACATCACTTGTCCTGATCCTGTATCATACACTGTCTATAGTGACCTGACATCACTTGTCCTGATCCTGTATCATACACTGTCTATAGTGACCTGACATCACTTGTCCTGATCCTGTATCATACACTGTCTATAGTGACCTGACATCACTTGTCCTGATCCTGTATCATACACTGTCTATAGTGACCTGACATCACTTGTCCTGATCCTGTATCATACACTGTCTATACTTGTCCTGATCCTGTATCATACACCTGACATCACTTGTCCTGATCCTGTATCATACACTGTCTATAGTGACCTGACATCACTTGTCCTGATTCTGTATCATACACTGTCTATAGTGACCTGACATCACTTGTCCTGATCCTGTATCATACACTGTCTATAGTGACCTGACATCACTTGTCCTGATCCTGTATCATACACTGTCTATAGTGACCTGACATCACTTGTCCTGATCCTGTATCATACACTGTCTATAGTGACCTGACATCACTTGTCCTGATCCTGTATCATACACTGTCTATAGTGACCTGACATCACTTGTCCTGATCCTGTATCATACACTGTCTATAGTGACCTGACATCACTTGTCCTGATCCTGTATCATACACTGTCTATAGTGACATCACTTGTCCTGATCCTGACTGTCTATAGTGACCTGACATCACTTGTCCTGATCCTGTATCATTCACTGTCTCTCCTGACATCACTTGTCCTGATCCTGTATCATACACTGTCTATAGTGACCTGACATCACTTGTCCTGATCCTGTATCATACACTGTCTATAGTGACCTGACATATAGTGACCTGACATCACTTGTCCTGATCCTGTATCATACACTGTCTATAGTGACTTGACATCACTTGTCCTGATCCTGTATCATACACTGTCTATAGTGACCTGACATCACTTGTCCTGATCCTGTATCATACACTGTCTATAGAAAAACAAAGAAATATTGTATTTGATATTGCCATTTTAAGGTTTTTGTTGTATAGAAAATGTCTTTGTTACATGCAGTTGGAAGTGTGTGTATCATACACTGTCTGTACAGGTGATTGAACCATCACTTGTCCTGATCCTGTATCATACACTGTCTATAGTGACCTGACATCATTTTTTGAGGATATTGATTGGACAAAGTACAGACTTACTTAGAGAGTACTCTTCTTTTCTTGTTTTCATTACAGTACAAAGTTTTTGTACTTTTAAATATAAAAAGTATGAAAAAAAACAAAAGCAAAAATCAAATATCCAGACAGCACTAGTTATATACAGTAGAAACTCAAAATTCAAGGGACCGTGGAAAATATTTTGACATCTGAATCTCGACTCAAACAAAGGTTGATATCAATTTCTTGATGTTGATTACAGTTGAATGAAGCAGGGCTATGATAGCACTTTTTTATTGTTTATTCATTCAAACAGCAAAGCATGTAACAACAACTCCATTCAAATACATATGTACTTATGCCATTCTGTCCCGTACACGTGTACACTACCCTTTTAGGCCAAGCATATATAGATCATATATTTTACAGAATAATGAAAATATAATTTGCTTTTGATATGCTACTAGAGACAATGTATGAAGTTACAGATCAGATTGATATGACTTTGTTATGAATGAAGACAACAAGTTTCAACTGTATTATTCAGACAACATTAGCTTCTATCTCAGATTTAGCACTAGTTTGTATGTAGAGTTAAATGTTATCTAGAAAACATTAGCTTCTATCTGAGATTTTAATGTTATCCAGACAGCACTAGTTTTTATCTCAGACTTAAATGTTATCCAGACAGCACTAGTTTTTATCTCAGACTTAAATGTTATCCAGACAGCACTAGTTTTTATCTCAGACTTAAATGTTATCCAGGCAACACTAGTTTTTATCTCAGACTTAAATATTATCCAGACAGCACTAGTTTTTATCTCAGACTTAAATGTTATCCAGACAGCACTAGTTTTTATCTCAGACTTAAATGTTATCCAGACAGCACTAGTTTTTATCTCAGACTTAAATGTTATCCAGGCAACACTAGCTCTCCAAGAGTTAAGTGTTATCCTGACAGCACTAGCTCTTTAAGTGTTAAATGTTTTCCAGACAGCACTAGCTCTTTAAGAGTTCAATGTTATCCTGACCATTTGTTATTTTTTTTATCAAGATATGGCACATTATTATGCTCCAATATAAATAAAAAAAATTAGTACAGTCGAGATATTCACATATTTGTTTTTCTGCTTTCCTGTAGCCTGGCCTTTCTGATCGGAGAGTAGCAGAAATTATTACGGATACTGTGTAAGTATTTCATTGGTGTCCTTAGCCATGTATAAAAAAGGACTGTGACAGGAAAATATTTATAGTTTTGATATACTTCCTGGAAACATTTCATGTCTACAATATTGATTGTGAGGGGTTGTTGTTTATTCTACTACACAGCAAGCTTATTACCAGGTATGGACATATTGCTTGCTCATGACAGGGTTATACTAGACAACTTTATTGGTTCAGCAGGGACAAGCTATAGGAGACACTATATAGGGGACACATGGTTCAGAATAGACCTAGAGAGACATGATGCAGTGGAGACACAGCTGTAGGGGAGACATGGTTCGATGGAGACACAGCTGTAGGTGAGACATGGCTCAGTTGAGACACAGCTGTAGGGGACATGGCTCATTGGAGACAACTGAAGGGGACATGGCTCAGTGGAGACACAACTGTAGGGGACATGGCTCAGTGGAGACACAGCTGTAGGGGACATGACTCAGTGGAGACATAGCTGTAGGGGAGACGTAGTTTGGTGGAGACACAGCTGTAGGGGACATGGCTCAGTTGAGTCGGACCTATAGGGGACATTGCTCAGTGGAGACAGCTGTAGGGGACATGGCTTATTGAAGACAGACCTATAGGGGACATGGCTTAGTGGAGACAGACCTGTAGGGGACATGGCTTAGTGGAGACACAGCTGTAGGGGATGTGGCTCAGTGGAGACACAGCTGTAGGTGACATGGCTCAGTGGAGACAAGTGTTAATGGACACACAAATATAGTAGATACTTGACTATAAAAGACACATGATCATAAGAAATGACATACTTTGTGAGCTATATTATGATGAGAGAGACAGTTGTGACTGACATAAAATCTAAGGAGACATTTATTGAAGAGGAAAATAGGTAACTTACTTAATCACCCTTATTTACAATCTATTAAAGGATCTCGGACGACGAGAGGAAATCATTGATTGAAACACAAGCAAAAGAAAATGAATATCACAAATTTGTGGAAGGCAACCTCATTCTGAAACAAGGTCTTGTAGATAAGAGAAAGGTTTGTATGTTTGTGAGTCTTAAAGACTTCTACATTAAGTGATAAATAATATCCTGATATCATTGAGATTGAAACATTATTGTATGGATGTACATCACCCCTTTTAACACAGTTTATTTAACCATTTATCACATTCCTTAGGCTTTTTCATGGCAGTATCTAGAAATTTAGAATTCAAACCCTCATATTACTTAGAATTGAACTATAAACAACAACTCTGAAACAAGCTATTGGCTTATAGTAATCAATCTTGTTGGCCTAGATTGAAGCACATAACAGTCTTATTGTGGGAGAAAACCAGAGTATATGGGGAAATCTTCCATGATCTAATACATTTCACATCAGGGAATCAAGCATTGATTGCCAGGACAACGATGCCTAACCCCATCACCCTAAATGGGAGTGTGGTCTAATAAGTAGATAGGTAGAGCTAAGAACTAACTTTCATCTGTGAAACTTTATTGCAATAAAACTTTTTACATATCATTCATATAAGATGCTTGACCTAATATAGACAAATGCTAATCAATCTTACACAAGTTCATGTGTTTTATTATACCTTATATTCAACCATACAAAGTTCATGTGTTGTGTTATACCTTACAGTCAACCATACAAAGTTCATGTGTTGTGTTATACCTTACAGTCAACCATACAAAGTTCATGTGTTGTGTTATACCTTACAGTCAACCATACAAAGTTCATGTGTTGTGTTATACCTTACATTTAACCTTTCAACCATACAAAGTTCATGTGTTGTGTTATACCTTACATTCATGTGTTGTGTTATACCTTATATACAACCATACAAAGTTCATATGTTGTGTTATACCTTACAGTCAACCATACAAAGTTCATGTGTTGTGTTATACCTTACAGTCAACCATAGAAAGTTCATGTGTTATGTTATACCTTACATTCAACCATACAAAGTTCATATGTTGTATTATACCTTATATTCAACCATACAAAGTTCATGTGTTGTGTTATACCTTACAAAGTTCAACCATACAACCATACAAAGTTCATGTGTTGTGTTATACCTTACATTCAACCATACAAAGTTCATGTGTTGTGTTATACCTTACATTCAACCATACAAAGTTCATGTGTTGTGTTATACCTTATATTCAACCATACAAAGTTCATGTGTTGTGTTATACCTTACAGTCAACCACACAAAGTTCATGTGTTGTGTTATACCTTACATTCAACCATACAAAGTTCATGTGTTGTGTTATACCTTACATTCAACCATACAAAGTTCATGTGTTGTGTTATACCTTACATTCAACCATACAAAGTTCATGTGTTGTGTTATACCTTATATTCAACCATACAAAGTTCATGTGTTGTGTTATACCTTACATTCAACCATACAAAGTTCATGTGTTGTGTTATACCTTATATTCAACCATACAAAGTTCATGTGTTGTGTTATACCTTATATTCAACCATACAAAGTTCATGTGTTGTGTTATACCTTACAGTCAACCACACAAAATTCATGTGTTGTGTTATACCTTACAGTCAATTATACAAAGTTCATGTGTTGTATTATACCTTATATTCAACCATACAAAGTTCATGTGTTGTGTTAAAACTTACATTCAACCATACAAAGTTCATATGTTGTATTATACCTTATATTCAACCATACAAAGTTCATGTGTTGTGTTATACCTTACAGTCAACCATACAAAGTTCATGTGTTGTGTTATACCTTACATTCAACCATACAAAGTTCATGTGTTGTGTTATACCTTATATTCAACCATACAAAGTTCATGTGTTGTGTTATACCTTACATTCAACCATACAAAGTTCATGTGTTGTGTTATACCTTACATTCAACCATACAAAGTTCATGTGTTGTGTTATACCTTACATTCAACCATACAAAGTTCATGTGTTGTGTTATACCTTATATTCAACCATACAAAGTTCATGTGTTGTGTTATACCTTACATTCAACCATACAAAGTTCATGTGTTGTGTTATACCTTATATTCAACCATACAAAGTTCATGTGTTGTGTTATACCTTATATTCAACCATACAAAGTTCATGTGTTGTGTTATACCTTATATTCAACCATACAAAGTTCATGTGTTGTGTTATACCTTACATTCAACCATACAAAGTTCATGTGTTGTGTTATACCTTACAGTCAACCATACAAAGTTCATGTGTTGTGTTATACCTTACAGTCAACCATACAAAGTTCATGTGTTGTGTTATACCTTACATTCAACCATACAAAGTTCATATGTTGTATTATACCTTATATTCAACCATACAAAGTTCATGTGTTGTGTTATACCTTATATTCAACCATACAAAGTTCATGTGTTGTGTTATACCTTACATTCAACCATACAAAGTTCATGTGTTGTGTTATACCTTACATTCAACCATACAAAGTTCATGTGTTGTGTTATACCTTATATTCAACCATACAAAGTTCATGTTATACCTTATACCATACAAAGTTCATGTGTTGTGTTATACCTTATATTCAACCATACAAAGTTCATGTGTTGTGTTATACCTTACATTCAACCATACAAAGTTCATGTGTTGTGTTATACCTTACATTCAACCATACAAAGTTCATGTGTTGTGTATTCAACCATACAAAGTTCATGTGTTGTGTTATTATATTCAACCATACAAAGTTCATGTGTTGTGTTACAAAGTTCATGTGTTGTGTTATACCTTACATTATTCATGTGTTGTGTTATAACCATACAAAGTTCATGTGTTGTGTTATACCTTATATTCAACCATACAAAGTTCATGTGTTGTGTTATACCTTACATTCAACCATACAAAGTTCATGTGTTGTGTTATACCTTATATTCAACCATACAAAGTTCATGTGTTGTGTTATACCTTACATTCAACCATACAAAGTTCATGTGTTGTGTTATACCTTATATTCAACCATACAAAGTTCATGTGTTGTGTTATACCTTACATTCAATACAAAGTTCATGTGTTGTGTTATACCTTATATTCAACCATACAAAGTTCAAAGTTCATGTGTTGTGTTATACCTTACATTCAACCATACAAAGTTCATGTGTTGTGTTATACCTTATATTCAACCATACAAAGTTCATGTGTTGTGTTATACCTTATATTCAACCATACAAAGTTCATTGTGTTGTGTTATACCTTATATTCAACCATACAAAGTTCATGTGTTGTGTTATACCTTATATTCAACCATACAAAGTTCATGTGTTGTGTATACCTTATATTCAACCATACAAAGTTCATGTGTTGTGTTATACCTTATATTCAACCATACACCAGTTATTCTTTAAGTTTTTATCGGTTTTATCTGTAACACATATATAAAGTTATATTTACTTAACATCATGCTTATACATTTTCAGGGTTTGTTTGCACGAAGACGGATGTTTCTATTAACAGAAGGTCCACATCTTTACTATGTTGATCCAACAAATAAAGTGTTAAAAGGCCAGATACCTTGGTAAATAATTTCTGCTTTTTATTAAAAACAGAATATGAAAAGAGCAATGATCTAATAAGGAAATATACAGTGATTGAAGACATTTAGTTCCATCGATGAAATGATAATCTGAAATATGATTACATTTGTCTGTATTTTCTTTAATAAGAAAATTACTGATATCTGCATGGGAGGTTTTTTGCCTATCAACATTAGTTACAACGTACTAACTTTTATCTTTTGTAGGTCAAAAGACTTGAAACCAGAGGCTAAGAATTTTAAAACATTTTTTGTACATACAGTAAGTATCCGGTTGGGCATTTAAGTTTATGGCAAAATGAAATGCAAACATTTTAAGCAAAAATAAGGCCATATTCTTATGTAAATATTCCACTTATAGAACTTAATGGTGATAAGGATTGAATTCCTAGAATTGTCACAGATAAAGTCTTGTGCATGTTTTATCTTCTTTGTAAATATTGGACTTCATAGGATTTTTTGATGTGTAGAAAAACCTGTTGAAAAGTCATTGTGAAAAGTTAGGTGCAAAATAGGGAGGCAAGAAAAACGATCTAATATCTGATAATCGTAGTTCAGTATTCGGTAAGGTGGAATCATTATAAATACAGTGTTGACTGCAAAGTGAATAGAACATATTTTAAATGAAATTTCAAGTTGAAGCTAACTTTACTTTCATTTTTTTCTCCAATAGCCCAACCGAACATACTACCTGGAGGACAAGAATTCAAGGTCACAAGACTGGGTGAACAAAATAGATGAAGTATGGCAGACATACTATGGTACAAAATCCTAGTGTCTCCAGATAGACTTTATTGAATAATGTAGAAGAAAACTCACATTGGAGAGATTCTCAATAATTGTCAAAAAACAAAAGTTAGTTTAAAAGCACCAGCAGGTTTTTGCTTATATTTTTGCCTCAATACAAGTCCTGAGAGTGTCACTTTTTATGAAGTAATAGCATTATAAATTACATTGTTTTACATTGTTGTCTTATAACTGGTTTGTAAAGTAGGGAATCTTGTTTTTAAATATGTGATCCCATTGTTATTATGTAGTAAAGATGATTCTAAATGTAAGGGAACTAATAACTGAGGAAAGACTGTTATTTGGAAGGGTGGAAACAGAAATAGTCAAGATAGGCTTGTTATCTGGAGACAGAGGGGAAACAGAAATAGTCAAAATATAGGCTTGTTATCTGGAGACAGGGGGGAAACAGAAATAGTCAAGATAAGCTTGTTATCTTGAGACAGGGGGGAAACAGAAATAGTCAAGATAATGGAGACAGGGGGGAAACAGAAATAGCAAAGAAGGCTTGATGGAGGGAAACAGAAATAGCTTGAAATTATCTTGGAGAAACAGAAATAGGGGAGACAGAGGGGAAACAGAAGAAGTCAAGATAGGCATGTTATCTGGAGGGAAACAGAAATAGTCAAAATATAGGCTTGTTATCTGGAGACAGAGGGGAAACAGAAATAGTCAAGATAGGCATGTTATCTGGAGACAGAGGGGAAACAGAAATAGCCAAAATATAGGCTTGTTATCTGGAGGGAAACAGAAATAGTCAAAATATAGGCTTGTTATATGAAGGGAAACAGAAATAGTCAAGATAGGCTTGTTATCTGGAGACAGAGGGGAAACAGAAATAGTCAAAATATAGGCTTGTTATATGAAGGGAAACAGAAATAGTCAAGATAGGCTTGTTATCTGGAGACAGAGGGGAAACAGAAATAGTCAAAATATAGGCTTGTTATCTGGAGGGAAACAGAAATAGTCAAAATATAGGCTTGTTATCTGGAGACAGGGGGGAAACAGAAATAGTCAAGATAGGCTTGTTATCTGGAGACAGAGGGGAAACAGAAATAGTCAAAATATAGGCTTGTTATATGAAGGGAAACAGAAATAGTCAAGATAGGCTTGTTATCTGGAGACAGAGGGGAAACAGAAATAGTCAAAATATAGGCTTGTTATATGAAGGGAAACAGAAATAGTCAAGATAGGCTTGTTATCTGGAGACAGAGGGAAAACAGAAATAGTCAAAATATAGGCTTGTTATCTGGAGGGAAACAGAAATAGTCAAGATAGGCTTGTTATCTGGAGACAGGGGGGAAACAGAAATAGCCAAAATACAGGCTTGTTATCTGGAGACAGAGGGGAAACAGAAATAGTCAAAATATAGGCTTGTTATCTGTAGACAGGGGGGAACCAGAAATAGTCAAGATAGGCTTGTTATCTGGAGACAGAGGGGAAACAGAAATAGTCAAAATATAGGCTTGTTATCTGGAGACAGGGGGGAAACAGAAATAGCCAAAATATAGGCTTGTTATCTGGAGACAGGGGGGAAACAGAAATAGTCAAGATAGGCTTGTTATCTGGAGACAGAGGGGAAACAGAAATAGTCAAGATAGGCTTGTTATCTGGAGGGAAACAGAAATAGTCAAAATATAGGCTTGTTATCTGGAGACAGAGGGGAAACAGAAATAGTCAAGATAGGCTTGTTATCTGGAGACAGGGGGGAAACAGAAATAGTCAAAATATAGCCTTGTTATCTGGAGACGGGGGAAACAGAAATAGTCAAGATAGGCTTGTTATCTGGAGACAGAGGGGAAACAGAAATAGTCAAGATAGGCTTGTTATCTGGAGGGAAACAGAAATAGTCAAAATATAGGCTTGTTATCTGGAGACAGGGGGGAAACAGAAATAGTCAAGATAGGCTTGTTATCTGGAGACAGAGGGGAAACAGAAATAGTCATGATAGGCTTGTTATCTGGAGGGAAACAGAAATAGTCAAAATATAGGCTTGTTATCTGGAAACAGGGGGAAAACAGAAATAGTCAAGATAGGCTTGTTATCTGGAGACAGAGGGGAAACAGAAATAGTCAAAATATAGGCTTGTTATCTGGAGGGAAACAGAAATAGTCAAAATATAGGCTTGTTATCTGGAGACAGGGGGGAAACAGAAATAGTCAAAATATAGGCTTGTTATCTGGAGGGAAACAGAAATAGTCAAAATATAGGCTTGTTATCTAGAGACAGGGGGGAAACAGAAATAGTCAAGATAGGCTTGTTATCTGGAGACAGAGGGGAAACAGAAATAGCCAAAATATAGGCTTGTTATCTGGAGGGAAACAGAAATAGTCAAGATAGGCTTGTTATCTGGAGGGAAACAGAAATAGTCAAGATAGGCTTGTTATCTGGAGACAGAGGGGAAACAGAAATAGTCAAAATATAGGCTTGTTATCTGGAGACAGGGGGGAAACAGAAATAGTCAAGATAGGCTTGTTATCTGGAGACAGGGGGGAAACAGAAATAGCAAAGATAGGCTTGTTATCTGGAGACAGAGGGGAAACAGAAATAGCCAAAATATAGGCTTGTTATCTGGAGGGAAACAGAAATAGTCAAGATAGGCTTGTTATCTGGAGGGAAACAGAAATAGTCAAGATAGGCTTGTTATCTGGAGACAGGGGGGAAACAGAAATAGTCAAGATAGGCTTGTTATCTGGAGACAGAGGGGAAACAGAAATAGCCAAAATATAGGCTTGTTATCTGGAGGGAAACAGAAATAGTCAAGATAGGCTTGTTATCTGGAGGGAAACAGAAATAGTCAAGATAAGCTTGTTATCTGGAGGGAAACAGAAATAGTCAAATATAGGCTTGTTATCTGGAGACAGAGGGGAAACAGAAATAGTCAAGATAGGCTTGTTATCTGGAGAGAGAGGGGGAAAAGAAATAGTCAAAATATAGGCTTGTTATCTGGAGAGAGAGGGGGAAAAGAAATAGTCAAGATAGGCTTGTTATCTGGAGACAGAGGGGAAACAGAAATAGTCAAGATAGGCTTGTTATCTTGAGACAGAGGGGAAACAGAAATAGTCAAAATATAGGCTTGTTATCTGGAGGGAAACAGAAATAGCCAAAATATAGGCTTGTTATCTGGAGGGAAACAGAAATAGTCAAAATATAGGCTTGTTATCTGGAGAGAGAGGGGGAAAAGAAATAGTCAAGATAGGCTTGTTATCTGGAGGGAAACAGAAATAGTCAAAATATAGGCTTGTTATCTGGAGGGAAACAGAAATAGTCAAGATAGGCTTGTTATCTGGAGGGAAACAGAAATAGTCAAGATAAGCTTGTTATCTGGAGGGAGAGGGGGAACAGAAATAGTCAAAATATAGGCTTGTTATCTGGAGGGAAACAGAAATAGTCAAGATAGGCTTGTTATCTGGAGACAGAGGGGAAACAGAAATAGTCAAAATATAGGCTTGTTATCTGGAGGGAAACAGAAATAGTCAAGATAGGCTTGTTATCTGGAGACAGAGGGGAAACAGAAATAGTCAAAATATAGGCTTGTTATCTGGAGGGAAACAGAAATAGTCAAGATAGGCTTGTTATCTGGAGACAGAGGGGAAACAGAAATAGTCAAAATATAGGCTTGTTATCTGGAGGGAAGCAGAAATAGTCAAGATAGGCTTGTTATCTGGAGGGAAACAGAAATAGTCAAGATAAGCTTGTTATCTGGAGACAGAGGGGGAACAGAAATAGCCAAAATATAGGCTTGTTATCTGGAGGGAAACAGAAATAGTCAAGATAGGCTTGTTATCTGGAGGGAAACAGAAATAGTCAAGATAGGCTTGTTATCTGGAGGGAAACAGAAATAGTCAAGATAAGCTTGTTATCTGGAGACAGAGGGGAAACAGAAATAGTCAAAATATAGGCTTGTTATCTGGAGGGAAATAGAAATAGTCAAGATAGGCTTGTTATCTGGAGGGAAACAGAAATAGTCAAGATAAGCTTGTTATCTGGAGGGAGAGGGGGAACAGAAATAGCCAAAATATAGGCTTGTTATCTGGAGGGGGAAACAAAAAATAGTCCAGATATAGGCTTGTTATCTGGAGGGAAACAGAAATAGTCAAGATAGGCTTGTTATCTGGAGGGAAACAGAAATAGTCAAGATAAGCTTGTTATCTGGAGGGAAACAGAAATAGTCAAATATAGGCTTGTTATCTGGAGACAGAGGGGAAACAGAAATAGCCAAAGTATAGGCTTGTTATCTGGAGGAGGGGAAACAGAAATAGCAAAGATAGGCTCGTTATCTGGTGAGAGGGACAGAAATAGCCAAGATGTAGCCTTGTTATCTGGAGGGGGAAATAGAAATAGATAAAATATAGGCTTGTTATCTGGAGGAGGGGAAACAGAAATAGCAAAGATAGGCTCGTTATCTGGGGAGGGGAAATTGAATTACCAAGGTAGGTCTGTTATCTGGGTTGGGGAAATTGAATAACCAATGTAGATCTATTATCTGGGGAGAGGGAACTTTAAATATCCAAGGTCTGCAGTTATCTTGGGAGGGAGGGAGTCTTTAGATATCCAAGATAGACTTGTTATGTGGGGAGGGGGAACTGAATCAGAGGGTATCGGGGCTACAATGACTGAGATGTACGTATTAAATGGAGATTAAAATGATCAGAGCATACCTTGTCTTCTAATGTGGGGACTAATTCTACTGGCTATGGTATGCCTGTTTTCTTATGAGGGGGATGACCAAGGTATGCTTGTTATCTTGGAGGGAGACGGTACATGTCAAAGTATTTTGATAAGGAAGGGGAGGTAAGTTGGCTTTGGTAGAAATGCCACACTGACAGTGATTTACATATTTTGCAGTACCTCATCAAAATTTGACATAATCAAAACAGTTCTGCTATTTGTCACTACAGAATAAGTTCAATTTTCCAATACCTGCCCAGTGATCAATTCTTGTTAACTAAAAACAGTCACTTCATTAGTAAATAAATTATTCCAGAT